AATTATGAATATGGCAGGATATTTCTATGAATACCAAGTCACTTGCTTTAGAATTACTCAAAGCTATTTGAAGATTATAGTTGAATTAAGTGTACAAAATACAACTATAAAAGGTTATGAGAAAATCTTAAAAGGCCATACATTCAGATTTGTTCACATATGTCTTTAGTTGTCCTGCTATTTTAAAGAAATTTTCACATTGTGTAAGCAGTTTGTGGTTTGTACAAGATAAAAGGCATATTAGTACTGCTCAGCAAAACAGTCTTAATCTTTTGTTGATTTATATATAATTAAGTTTAAATGAAATGTTTTCATAACTCTTTTGATCAGATGTTTTCCCATTGATCAGTTAATTACCAGTTTTGTACACACTCTGTGTGTGTGTTCTCTTGTATTTGATGTAATCATAGATAAAAGGCAGCAAGTGTCCTTAGAGAAAATAAACCCTGGGAAGTGATGTGTCTTGCAGAATTTCATAGCTAATGAATTGCTGGTTCTTTTATTCAAATCAAGGACATTTGTGTCAGTCCATTGGTCTTTACAGAAATACTTAATTGATTCTGGTGGTGTTCTGTGTTGCTAATGAGGAGCTGTACTCTGCTTAGAAAAGATGGCATAATTGAAACAATTTATGTAATTCCAATCTCAGCCCATATATTTGTGATGTTACTTTTCTCAGGATTAGTATTAAATGGGGCAAAAGAGCTTTTATTTAGTACATGCGCTATTTTAGAACTTGAAGTATAGAATCAACTGTTCTATTGTACCTCTTATAGCCATTTTCCAAGCGCTTGCTGAAGAGTGCTTGCGCCCTGAGAGGAATCAATAAATCAGTATGTATTGAGTGTATCTAGTGTTCAGCATATTACTTAGCACTGGGGATGCAACTGTGAATAAAACAAGACACAGTAGGGTAAAACAAAGGCCATGCCTTCCTGAGATTTTAAAAATTTCTAACAGTGTAAGTATTTGTTTCAGGTATTAAGTGCTATAAAAAGTGAAAATTTGGAATATTAAAAAATAAAACTGGACAGTCAGTCCAAGTCAAGTGAATAGTGGAATAGTCTAGCCCTAAGGAAGAGTAGAGAGGGTGGGAGTCATGACGGCTGCTATATCTAACTAAGTGTTATTTTAGATACACTCTGAAGTATAAGTGGGACTTTTCAGGTGAATGTGGGAGAAAAAGGGAAATTCCTGGAGAGTGGGTAGGGCTGAGCAAACTTGGCAGAGGCAATTAGGTAAGAAGAGGTGTATTTTAGTTTGAGAAATTGAAAGAAAGCATGTGTGTCTGTAGAGAGGGAGGAAGGGGTTGAAATAGATGAATGAGGAGGAGGAAGAAGAAGAAGAGGAAATAAGCTTGGGTACAAGTATGCAAGGTCTGAGAGAGTGTGTTCATACTTAGCCCTGAGAATAAAGGGAAGATACCGAAGGGTTTTTAACACTCATGTTGTGCTCTTCTTGTTTTTTTCAAAGGATAACTCCAGCTGTTTTGTGAAAAATGGGATGGCTAACAGTGGATGAGGGAGACTTGGTTGTAAGGACAGTGTTGAGTAGGATAGTGGTGTTCGAGATAGCTCTTGCAGAATTTTAAGCTCAGAGAAAATATGCTTTATGGTTTTGCTTTGCTTTTATGCTCTAGTTAAGACTTCATTGCTGTTTTATTTGTTTCCTCTTAATTCCTTCTTGCAACTAGTTTGTTGAGGTGTATAAGCTTCAGTGACCTAATGTACATTTTATTTTTTTAAGGTTAAGGTTGATTGTATTACTTATTTTCTTGGCTATATGTTCTGGTCACTTTCTCTTTTCTGGGACAAAATACTCAACACCTACATCATAAAGAAAAGTTATTTTGACTCACAGTTTTTAGAGGACTCAGTCTATAGGTGGCAGGCTCTGAGGCAGGAAAGTGAGTGGTGGAGGAAAGCTGCTTATGTCATGGTGGTCAGGGAGCAGCGAGAGGAGAGATGTTGGCAGTAAGAGTAATAAACCCTTCCTGGTCACTTTCTTAGTGACCTGGCTCTGCCTCCTAATAGCACATGCAGCTACTACTGAACTCATTAGTAAATGAACCTAATCACCTTCCAAAAGCCCCACCTCTGAGCACATGAGTTTTAGTTCTATATCTAAACCATAATGCCATATAAGAAATAAGTCCTTATTTTCAATTTGAGATATGATAGTTTAAAAATAAAATGGAAGTGTTGATACTAAGATTCATTGTGTAACAATCCACATAGGTTTACTAGACTAAATATCATATGGGGAATATTTTAAACAAAATGAAAAAAAGTCTCTGACAGTGATCATAACTTAAAAATAATTTACGTAAGGAGGTGCAGTTGAATGTTACATTGTGAATACAACAGAAGAAAGTGACTCACATAATTGGTTTTATTCATGTTCACATTCCATTTCATATTTATCATACATCATAATTTTAAGAAGTACTTCACTGTCATCAAAATTTTTTTCTAGTTTCATTGAAAAGTATTAGAAATGCTTTGTGTATTTTATTTGTAAATGGGAAGAGATGTACTGTTGTTGTAACTTCCTTAGAAAAGTTCCTTCGAATTAAGATTTCATTTGGGTTTGCATGTAGCCATTGGAGGAAAGTCAAGAAGAGAAATAATGACCTTGGGTAGAGATACAGAATATTGGTTTACCCATTTTCTCCACCTTCGTTATATTTCTGTATTGAAAATATAAATCTATGGATATACAATAGTTTTTATATACCCTGTTTGCTTGTTGATATCATTCATTTCAAGTGTCATTATAGCCCCTACAATGAATTGCGATGGGTTTGAATTGACTTCTAAAAGGGGTGAATTATATTTTGTTTGAAAATTTCAGTAAGTAGAATTTACTGTGAGATAGAACAGGAATAGCTTGAAATATTGTTCTATTTTCTTCTAAATTTGTTGAAATGAACCTTTTATGGATTAATGAGCTAATGGCCTGTGTTAATAAATTCTACTTTTATAGAATTTTCAAGGATGGATGACTTAATATATATATTAAGATTTTTGAAAGATGCTTACTCAGATTGTGAATTTATTTTTTAAAATAAGGAAACAACTTTAAAGATGGCTTGGTTTTCTTTTTAATTTAGATTTCATGTTGAAGCTAAGCATTGTTACCTGATTATATAGTTATGTGCTTGGCTTTTATATTCTAAGTAATGTTAATCCTTCCTCAGATCTTTGAGCTCAGGGGTGTCTTTATATGTTAATTTGTTTCTGTATTCATGTACTTACAGTTAGTCTTTTCATGTATGTAACAAACCATAGCTTGCCTTTATAAATATTAGTAAATGACTGTAAATAGCTGTTTTTTGAAAAACAGCTATTATTTTCTCAATGCAATCACCACTTTAAAGTTTCCTTTCAAAAAGTGACAGTAAGTGCTGGGGATATAGCTCAGTGGTTCCGCCACCTGCTTCTCAAGTGCAAGGACTCGAGTTTGATCCCCAGTATCACAAAGAAAAAAAGTGACAGTAATTAATTAGCTGCTTCACTAGTTTTTATACATGTGTTGGTAATTACCATGAATTATTGTGTACTTTTTTGTTTCCCCCAATGCTGCCAGGTAGCCATTGCTAATTTCATCATGAATAGACCTTAGCGTCTATCAGCTTAGTATGTTCCAGAAAGGGTGAATTGATTGGAGTGCTATTTGAAGAAACATCATTGAAAAAAATATTTATTTAAAAATATTATTTGACCCAGGGAGAGATGTAATTGTATTATCTGTTGTTTCAGTTTTACTGGTGTACTGAAGTGTTTCTTCAGGTGTGTTGCTTTTGAGATAAAGTATTAGGTAACTTTATCAAATTAGCAATAACTTTTTTCATGGATATACTAAAGGCTATCTTTTATATAGAAACTATTTTATTATATCACTAAGCACATACTTTTTGTGTGACTGGAGCCAGTCAGACTCATAAACAGATGCTGTGTTTTTGTTGAGAGCTTGAGTTGTATAATGGAGCAGGAGACTATGGAGAATTCAGAACACATTTAGAAGAAACACTCAAGCAAACAAACCCATTCTGAATCCCTTTATATACTTTTATCTTGGGTTGAGAAATGTGTGATATACCAGTGGTCAAACTCATTTCAAATTTATATAGAAAATTAATTTCTTTTCCTATTTTAAGAATGTAGAAAAAAGTCATCCCAATTTACTGTGTTGAGTTGGCATTGTACAGAAATGGACAACCATATTGGTCTAGAAATGTTAATTTATTTTTTTTTTATTTTTTTTTCCATGTGTACAGGGGTAACACATCGTACTAAATATGTAATACGTTCAGGCCATTTTCATCTCCAGAATTAAGGATTATTTTAATGTTACATCATTGCCTTTTCTCTTCTACTTTCCTTTTTAGTTTTATTTTAGAATTCCCTATTTTTAATGTTCATACAGAGATTTCTTTAACTGAAATACCGAATAGTTTCTTTGGGGTGAAAAACTATAATAGTACACAGGATCCTAATGAGATAATTAATAATGTGAAATAGGAAGTAAAAGGCTAAAGGTGTAGGGAAAGTGGGAAGGGTGGGGGAAAGGTAATAAGGGAGAGGAAAAAAATATGAGAAACTGAAAAAATGGAAATAAAGTGTTTGTAAATGGGGAGGGGAGAAGGGGGTGAAGGGAGGGCAGGGACAAGGGGGAAAAATGAGAATCAAGACCTATTATGTAAAGGTACAGAATTCCAGTGATGAATGTAATTGTATTGTATACCTAGATTGTACCAATAAACTCAATAAAAAGAAAAAAAAAGAATGTAGATAGTACATTTTGGGCACATAAAATAATTCAAATACTATCGTAGTTGACTTAGAGAAGTAGAATATACGTTGAGTCTTGAATCTAAGATGTAAAAATCAGTGAACAGAATCTGAGTATAAATTTATAGTCTGTAATAACCATGCTGGGTCAGTAGTCACTAAAATGAACTTTTTTTATATGCTTTTCTGTGACATGTCTCTTATAAGGTCAAAAGAAATAGACTGGCAACCTTATTTTACTACGCGAATTGTAGATGATTTTGGCACGCACCTAAGAGTATTCAGAAAGGCTCAACAGAGGATAACAGAGAAAGATGATCAAGTGAAAGGTATTGTCTTTATTTTGTTTGAAAATTAGAATTTAAAAGTTGATTTTCCTTTATCACTTTGTATATATTGAATTGTTCTTTTCCTTTTCCAGGTACAGCAGAAGATCTTATAAATACCTTCTTTGAAGTTGAAGTTGAAATGGAAAAGGAGGTTTGCCGTGACCTAGTGTGCACTTCTCCCAAAGATGAAGAAGGTTTTCTTTTTAATATAACTCTTTTGATGACATTAACTGATTAAAGACAAGTTAGCAGACCACATCTGAGAGTGTAATTATTCCTACATAGAGCAAGTAGCATAATGAAAATATTGCACTTTGGTTTAACTGTTACAAGTAGTTTCCATAGTTTTTTTCATTTTTAAACGTTATCTTTAAAGATTAACCTTCTTTTAAAATATAGCAAATGCAGACATTTTATAATTAAATGTTTACTATTTTTCTCCTGGCTTTATTATTGACTTATTCTACTTCAAGAGTATAACTGTTAAACCTAGAATATTTTCTAAGAGAATAATTACATGACTTCAAATAAAATTTATAGATTTGAATGGACTTGTTCTTTTTTATGGTGGGTTAGATCAGACAAGTTTTAGTTGAAGATCTTTGTCCACTTTTACAACTAAGTGTTTGCTACTTGGTCCATTATTTACTTAACAAGATTTTTTACTTAATTTTATTCCTAGGAAGTGTTAGTTTAGTTATGGGAATTATTTTTGAAAATGTTCTAAACTTGTTTTTCCCTTTGTTTTTTCTTTCTTCTTTTTCTGTTTTATTTTTCTTCCCTTTTTACATTTATTATAAAATACAGTTTTTGTCACTTCATTAACACTATTATGCAATAATAGCTAAGTAGGTAGAGTGATATGTAGTACATTTATATAAATTCAGTTCTCTTAAATCTGTAGAGTATATTTTTCTTTTGTTTTTACATCCTGAGATAGTGGAGATTATTTTCTTTGAAAGAAATACAGGTATATCTTTAGATACGCAAAGAACTTTTTTTTTAGTGTGTAATGATAATATGTGGTAAACTAAAAAATAAAAAGCACAATTTAAAAATTAGTTTGATTAATGGGTAGTAGTTATTTATAGAACAGTGAAGGAATTCTTTTTTTTTTTTTTTGGTACCGGGAATCGAACTTGCGTCCTTGCACTTGGGAGGCAGGTGCCTGAACCACTGAGCTAAATCCCCGGCCCAGGAATTCTTAATAAATACTTATGTGTACTAATTACTAAAATAATAAGCTAGTAAAACTAAGTAACTTTATTTCTATCTTTTTAATGTGTCTGGTATTAAAATTAGGTGGAAATTTTAAGTTTTCTAATGTTACAGCTACTTTTTTTATTTTTAGGATTCCTAAGGGATTTGTGTGAGGTCTTATTATATTTATTGCTACCTCCTGGAGATTTCCAGAACAAGATCATGCGATACTTTGTCAGGGTAAGCTTAAACTCATATTGGATAATGATGGTAAAGAAACTTTGAACAGTGTTCTCTTTCAAGACCCTGTTGAACTCATAAAAAAAATACTGAAGACCCCAAAGAGCCTTTGTTTATGTGGGCTTTCTCTATAATACTTCTGTACTATAAATTAAATCCAAGAAAATTCTAAAACACAAGAATTTATAAGCATATATTCCATCAGCTGATAGATGGATGAAATGGTGTCATGTTCCTTTTGAAAATCTCACTGTATGATTATGAGTCAATAAGAATGAAATGGTAAAGGTCTGGGGATTTAGCTCAGCGGTTCTGCTGCCTGCCTTGTAAGCACAAGGACCCAAGTTCAATCCCTGGTACCAAAAAATGGCTGAAAAGAATGAAATGGTAAATAAGTGTTTTCTCCTTAAAAAGTATGCTTTAAAACACGAATTCATTTTACCAAAGGCATAAAATAAAATAATTACCTAAAATTTTTATAGAAGTTAGAGACTAAAGCTAACTTTGAAAGAAGAAATTTCTTGTAACTTGGCACTGAAAATACTTAGTACATTTCTAAAAATCCCTGGAGTCTTCATTGATGTCTGTTGGAAATATGAATTTATCATAGGGTAATAGTTGCATAGTTTACAACAGTAGAATTACACAAAATATTTTTTTTTGAGACAGGGTCTCACTATGTAGTTCAGGCTGTCCTCAAACTCAGTGATCCTCCTTCCTGCTTCAGTTCCCTTGGTGCCAGGCATTTGCCACCACACCTGGCCCAAAATATTTCTTTTAAAGAAAAAAAAAGACTATCTTCTATTATGTGTATTAGAAAATAGTCCAGATATATTAGAGATCTGTTAAGAGGAGCAAATTGGTCTTTGCTTTAGAAAAATGAAATATATTCAGCTAATTAGGTTTCTAATATTCTCAAAAATATTTTACACATTTATATATGATAGGCATTAAGGTTAATAACAAGTGTAAACATTTTAGTGATTGAATTGGTTCTAAATTCTTGTGTATCAAATGCCTACCTGAGAAGATTGGAGGGTATGATAAATATTTTTGAAGATAAATCAGTAGATCATTTGAAAATTCCACTCAGAAGATTCATAAATTTCAGTAGTCTATTAGAAGAAATGAGATATATAATAACATAGAAAACAGTAACTGAATGTGGCTGTATGTAAATACAAGTATGCATATATTTTAAAAATAAAAGTGAAAGTGTTAAACTGAAGTGATCAGGGTTTAATAGGCTAATTAATTCTTCCATAAAACCTTAAAAGAAGGGCAGAATTTTTAAAAGTTGAAGCATAAACAACTGCAAAAAATGGAAAGAGTGTTGAGAAGGTTATATTACAATTTTATTTGTTAGGAAAATATTCAAAACTAGGAATGTATAGAGAGTGCAGTAGACATTTATGTACAAGCTACCCAGATTTAATCAGTGTTGATATTTTATTATAATCAGTGTTGATGTTATATTTTAGCTGAATGGTTTTATCCACTTGAAATAAACAGTTTTAAAATTGATGTGTTATCTTTTGCTTTTCCTTTTCTATTTTTGTACTTTTAATCTATACTTAATATATTTTATTCTCATCTTTTGCCTTTTAAAAATTGACATAAACTAGATGCATCCTTTTGCTTCTTTTCACTCTAGTTGTTATTGTGGAGATGTGTCAGTGTTGATATAGGTAGCTTTGTCTCATTTATTTTAACTCAAGTATTGTAGATAACTTAGTTATAGTAGGGATAAGATTGCATTAGTTATCTTTTACATTGATATGTATCTATATTATATAACAGCATTGTACTAGGAAACTTACTTTCCAGTGAATTAAAAAGTAATATTAGATTAAATTTATATTGTTTTTCTTACAAAAATTGTTTTAGGAAATCCTTGCACATGGAATTCTTCTTCCATTAATAAATCAACTCAGTGATCCTGATTATATTAATCAATATGTCATATGGATGGTAAGTAACTTTTAAAGTTACATCTGTTTTTGAAAGTTTTTAAAATATGGAAATGAAGTTTGGCTATTTACAAGGTGATGAACAATTTACTAAAGAATTTAAGTAAAAAATATTTCTAAAATAATCCCTATATTTATTGAAAAATTAAATTGTTTGGTCCCTGTATTACAGATTATGAGTATTTTTAAATAGTACTGTTGATTGAATATTCTTTTTTTTTTTTTTTGGTACCAGGGATTGAACTTGGGTCCTTTTGCTTGCCAGGCAGGCCTCGGAACCACTGAGCTAAATCTCCGGCCCGATTGAATATTCTTTAACCAAAAACACATGGGATTCTGATATGTTGATGCTGGAATATTTCCATATATGTAATGAGATATCTTGGGAATAGGACTGGAATTCATTTGTGTTTCATACCTCATTAATAGGAATTAAAGGAATTTTATGTCTGTGTTCATTAAGGAGATTGACCTGTAGTTCTTTTTTGGTTGGATCCTTCTCTGGTTTTAGTATCAAGATAATGCTTGTTTTCAGGAATGACTTTGGGCGTATTGCTTCCCTTTAAGTTTCATTAAGGAGTTTGAGGAGTAGTGGCAGTATATCTTTAAAGTTCTTGTAGGTGTCAGCAGTGAGTCCATGAGGACCTGTGCTTATTTTTGTTGGTAATTTTTAAATTAACTTCTTCAGTTTTATTGACTGATACCGGGTCATTTAAAATTTTTTATCTTCTCTGTTCAGCTTTGTAATTTATATTTATCTAGGAATTTGCTCATTTCTTTAGGGTTTTCCATCTTTATTAGAATACAAATTCTCAAAGTAGGTATGGTTGATTGTCTGAATTTCTATAAGATCCATTGTGATTTTTTTTCCTTTTAATTCCTAATTGTATGGATTTGAGTTTTTCTTTCCTTTTTTGATAGGGTTAGCTAGGGATTTGTCTTATTTAATCTTTCAAAGAGCCAGCTCTTTAATTCATTGATTCTTTGTATTGTTTTCTTAGTCACAATTGCATTAATTTCTGCTCTCATCTTTATAATTTCCTTCCTTGAACAAACCTTGGGTTTAACTTGCTCTTCTTGTTCTAGAACCTTGAGATTCAACAGTAGGTTATTTATTTGCGCTCATTCTGTTTGTTTGTTGTGGGAATTTACTGCTATAAATTTCCCATTGTAGGACTGCTTTCATTGTGTCCATAAATTCCATGTTGTGTCAGCATTATCATTTAATTGTAGAAACTACTTAATTTCTTCCTTAATTTCATCTGTGACCCAATTGTTGTTCAGGAGTATATTATTTAATATCCATGAGTTTATGTACTTTTTGTGGTTTCTTTTTCCATTTATTGCCAATTTCATTGCACTGTGATTTGATAATATGAGTGGAATAATTTCAGTTTTTGCATTTATTGTAGCTAGTATGTGGTCTGTTTTGGAGAAAGGTACCATGTGCAAAGAGTATGTATTCTGTTGATACTGGGTGGAACACTAGATAATCTACTGAGTCCATTTCTTCAAAGGTTTGGTTCAGTGCTGATACTTCTTTGTTGAATTTTTGTCTAGTTGATCTATTTGTGACAATGGGGTATTGAAATCCCCCATTCCAATTGTATTAGTGCTTATCTGATTTTTAATATCCACTTATACTTGTTGTATATAGTTGGGTGTGCTGGTATTTGTTGTATATATATTTATGGTGGTTATCTCTTTCTCTTGGATTGTTCCCTTAACAAGTATGTAGTGACCTTCTTTGTCTCTTCTTGGCTTGAAATTCATTTTGTCTGAGAATAGAATACCCCTGCTTTATCTAACTTTCTGTTGTATGGAATATTGTTTTCTATCCTTTGACTTTTGGTCTGTGAAGTTCTTTTTGCACTAAATGTGTTTCTTGTATGCAGCATATTGTTGGATCTTTTTTTCTTTATCCATTCTGCCAATATGTTTCTTTTTATTGGTGAGTTGAGACCATTTACATTGGTGGTTATAACTGGTAGGTATTACTTATTCTTATCATTGTATTATTTTCCTGTAGTTGGTTCTCTTTCTTTTCTTTCTATTTAATTGTTTTCCTTGCCTATTAGGTTCATTCTATTTAGATTCTTGAAATTGTTGTATTTTTCTAGAATATCATTCAGAAATTTTTGGAGTGCTGGTTTAGTGGTCATTAATTTTTTCAGGTGTTCTTTATCATAGAAGTATTTTTCCATCAATTTTGAAAGATAACTTTACGGGGTTCATAAATTTGGGTTGGAAGCTGTTTTCTTTTAGGGCTTAAAATACTTCATGTCAGGCTGTCCTTGACTTAAATTAAGGGTTTGTGTTGAGAACTCTGCTGTGATTGAATGAGTTTTCCTTTATAAATAATTTGCTCCTTTTCCATGATAGCTTTTAATATTCTGTTCTTGATTTGAATTTCTGGAATCTATAGTATTATATGACCTGGTGTAGTTTTTTTCTTATCATGGTTAATTGAACGTTCTATATGCCTCACTTATCTGTATATCAAATCCTTTTTCCATGCTTGGAAAGTTTTCTACTAATACTTCCGTTAACAAGTTTTTCATGTCCTTTGTGCTATCTTACGAGTTTTCACTGATTCCATTTAATCTTAAATTAATATTCTTTGTATCATCGAGCACTGTCAGATTCATTTTTTTTTGTGATCCCTTGCTTTTTTTTTTTTTGGTACCGGGGATTGAACTCTCGGGTCCTTGCACTTGCAAGGCAGGCCACTGAACCGCTGAGCTAAATCCCTGGCCCTCAGATCCCTTGCTATTTTTAAAAAGTCTTTCATTTGATGATTGCCATCAACAACCCTGACTTCTTAGATCTGATAGTCTATCTTCACACTGGTTGAATCTACTTTCAGAATTTTTAATCCCCTGGGTATCTGTTTGAGTCTGTTTTATGGTATGTAGGTCTGTGTTGGGCATTCATGGTTTCCTTGCCTTTGTTAAGCTCCTCTATTTTTTATCATGAAAAGCCATTTACTTGCTTTTTAAGAAGCCAGGCATATAATGTTATTTAATGCTGAAATCCTTTATTTTACTTCTTTTATTAAAAAAAGATACAGGTACTTTTATATTAATATTTATATGAAATTTATGTTATGTGAAATGAATAGATCTTAACTCTGTACAATTAGTAAATTTTGATAAATATATACACCTGTGAAAGCACCACACGTCAAGACAGAGCTTTTCTATCATCCTAAAAAGTTCTGTCTTGCCCACTTCCAGTAAATCTGACCCTTCCTGTTCTCAATGGCAATCCCTCCTCTATTCTTTCCTAAATTACTTTTTACCATTCATGCACCTTATATAAATGGAATCATGTACTTTTTTTATGTCTGGCTTCTTTTGCTTAGCATACTAGTTTTGAAAATTTCCATGTGTTGTTCATTCTGTTTGAATGCTAAGTATTCTATTTCATGAATTATATTGTAAGTTGTTTAGCTAGTTTTATATTGGTGTACAGTGAGTATATGTATATTTTTTAATAAAAGCAGGATGGCTTGAGTATTTTTGTGTATTTCATTTGATGGATATGTTTCTGGGACATAGGGTAGATATTTGTTTAATTTTATATGCAGTTGGTAAGCGATACAGCAAGATTGTAGAATAAGAAGCCCCACATCACATTCCTCCTTAGAAATACCAGTATAACAACAGTACTACTGTATCTGGTTCAAAAACCTTTTATAAGAACTGTAAAAAATGGTTGGGGAGACTCAGTACCCCAGGCAAGTTGGAAGCCAAGAATAGCCACATTGATATAAGTAAGAAAAGCTGTTTCATATCAACTGTGTTAGCCACTGCCCCAAGCTGGCATAACAGTAGAAACAAAAAGCCCAATTTTTACATTGGGATGAAAAGAGAAAGGTGGAAATATGTCCAAAATTCTGGCTTTTCAGAGAGCTGTCCAAGGGACTAGTATCTTTTCTCTGCTGACTTGAACGGCTGATGAGGAGGTAAGCATACTTTGGTTCCCTGGGGCTGCAGAGAGCAAAAGGGAGGTCAGTACCTGTGGTAGAACCAAAGGACTTATAATGCCACAGATGCAAGCTGATAAAACTCACTCTGATTGGCCTTAAGTGCCCAGCTCATGAGTCTTCCATGAAAAGAAAGAGAAGAGGAGAACATGTGTCTCAACTCTGGATTTTTCAGGGCTGTTCCCCGGGTACAGTTACATGTCTCATTTGAATTGAAATACTCTTGAAACTAGCATATTTTGAATGCCTGAAGGCTACCGAGAACAGAGGTCAGCAGATTGTTCAGAGTCTTAGGAACTTTTACTACTGCACACAAGGCACTACATGGAACAAGGACTATAAGCTCCTGGAAAATTAGAAGATGCAAATGGGCAGCTAAACAAAGTCAGGAAAATGATACATGAACAGAAATGAAAATATTAACAAAGAAATACACACTGTCCTGAAGCTGAAAAATGTAATTGATAAAAAATTTACTAGAGGAGTAGTCTTAATTAAGTGATGAATAATCAGTGAACTTGAAGACATGTTATTTTAAATCAGTGACTCAAAGAAATAGCAACAGAAAAAATAAGAAGAAAATTAAAGCTTAGGGAACTTAGAAAACGTGGGAATCCAAGAATGAGCAAGGGGACAATGAACAGAGAGCTCATGTTAAGAAACAGTTAGTGGAAATGGCTCAATTTTGAGGAGGGCAATGGACATCCACTTTCAGTAAGCTTGAAGAACTCTACCTAGGATGACCAAAAGAGGCCTACACAGAGAGGCATTAAGATGAAATGATCAGGGCCAGGGTTTTAGCTCAGTGGTGTCACCACGTGCCTTGCATGCGCAAGGTCCTGAGTTCTATCCCCAGTACCAAAAGAGAGAAATGTTCAAAAGTCAAAGACAAACTTGTTATTAGTTTAAAATAGATTATTATAATTGTAAAATGTTTTATGTAAATTCTGTGATAACCATAAAGAAAATCCCTGTAGAAGGTGCACTGAAAAAGTAAGATGAAGGGCTGGGGA